GGGCCCTCAGCGCCAGCTATGAGAACACAGGCCGTCCACTCTCTTCACTGTTCCTTCCTCCCAGCCACAGTGCTCCTCCTGGTCTCCCGGATTCCCTGTCATGCCCGCCCTCCCCTCGCAGTCACTACCACTTACTGGAGGCCACTGGTGACCTTGTGATCTGACAGTCATCAGTAATAAAGGACATGTAAACTGAATGAAATTAGGACTGCTGAAATCCTTCTTCTAGAAGATAAGAATAGAAGGCAGGGTGCAGGCTTTCCCTAAGCCTCTTAGATTTGCTCACATGAACAAAGTAACTAACTCTGTTATTCACCAGCCCCCAATGGAGCACAGAAGAGTAACCCTTGACCTCCAAGCTCCAGACTAGAGCTTCTAGTCCATTGGGGGCCTCTAGGGACATAAACCAATAATGCTCCCCCCAAAAAATGTGAATAAATACATATAAGAATTTTGTCCATTCTTCTCCCAAGAGATTTGTTTTAAAATGCATCTTCTCCCATGATTTGTTTTATAATGCAATATTTTTGTTTATTTCTAAAAGTCAACAAAATATTAAAGATGACAGTAGCCAAGAAAATTTTGGAAAGAAAAAAAAAAAACAAGGAAGAATTTATATCTGATACTGAAAGACTTTGTAAAAGCTCCGAGAAATAAAACACTGACAGCATCCTATGAGTGGACAGTCAGTGAAATGGAGTGGAAAACTAAAGTAAATCCAAACCGATTCCCTCATTCGTTCATTATTTCATGCAACAAAAACTTATTGAGCCACCACTGTGAGCTGGACACCAAGTCCTAAGCAATGAGGAACAACAGTGAACAAAAAAGACAAGAAAAAGAACATCTTGTTCTTGTAGGAGAGACATAAGCAAGTGAAAATCACATATAATCACACATGGCTTTCCAGCACCATGGTCAATGGTGCACCCCAAGACGGTCTTCCCAGTAGGTCTCATCTAGATTTGTGAAGATACTTTATGATGTCCACACAGTGGTGAAATCATTGCTCAGATCGTACACTCATTTTTTTTTAAAGATTTATTTATTTATTCATACAGAACTGGGGTACAGGCCAGAGATGCGGTGGGTGAGAGGATTCACCAGAGACAGAGCGGGGAGCAGAACAAGCAGATCGACGAAGCACACTACTGAGGGGAGCAGCGGGCAGGCAGGAGAGGTCTGCCGAGACATGTGGATCTCTTCCGGGGCAGGCGGGGATCGAACTCATGCAGAAGTGGCTTAAGCTTCTTAGTGCCGTGCTTTAACCCACTGCGTCACCTGGGAAGGCCCGTACGCTCTTTTTAAGTGACACATGACTACAGCTGGCAGTGCAGGGACTCTGGTGAAGGTAGGGGTTGAGTTGAGTTTGTCTTGGGTGGCATCCCCCATTGGAAAGAAGGCTTCCCCAAGTAGATGTTTGAGCAGCAGCCACGAGGGATGAGAGAATGAGCCTCCTCAGTTTCAGGAGCAAGAGATAAGCAGCTACGAAGGCGCTGAGGCAGGAGCAGGTCTGGTGAGTAGGAGAAACAGCAGAGGTCCCCAAGTCTAGGGTAGAATTTATGAAGCAGAAAGTCCTTCCATTTTGCACTCCTTTAGGGTTTGCCTGCTGGGAGTCTGACGCTGGCCTCGCCCCAGGGAGTCAGAGAATCTTTGAGGTGCTCACAATCTGAAGGAGACAGTCACAAGACCAAAATAATTCAGTCGTCAGTGGGTCCTACGTTAGGGGAAAGGCCAAAGAGGATTTAAAAAAAAAAAAAAAAAGAGGTTCTGGAGAGTTCCGAAAGAGATGCCCCATAAGTGGACTCCAAATTTCACCTTTCTTCCTAAAATGTTGCTCCAGGGTCTGAAGCCAATGAGAAGCTCACAGCTGATGCAGGGAAGCAGCCAGCTGACGTCCCCATTCAGCAGCACCTCAGCAGTGCTCCCAACCATGAGCCTGACCACGCCTGTGTCCACCACCCAGGATGCCAGCCAGTGCCAGCCTGGCCCAGACTTCAGCCATGACCGGCAGCTCAGGTACAGAGACCGTTCTTATTTAAGACAGAGATAGCATTTTCCTCTGTTCCTGTTTGTTCTTCGTTTTGCTGTAGATGAAGACAGAGTTCAGGCAGATTCTAAAGCTTCTGAGCTCTGCTAATGAAGAGAGGGGGGCAGGGTTGTGATGACCAGTGGAAATGGCCCTCTGTATCCATGGGCCTCTGGAAACAGAGCAGGTGAGGATTGGAGACAGTGCATAGGGCCCAGCTGCCGTCAAGGATGCCATGGGCCAGCCGTCCACAGGTTGGGTGCTCATCAAAGCCTCCCACTGATATCTCCCTCTGCTCGAAGGCTGTTGCTGAGCCAGCCCATCCAGCCCATGATGCCGGAGTCCTGTGATGCGAGGCAGCATGCAGAGGTTGGCCGGACCGGACGGCAAGCCAAGTAGGTGGCCGAGGGGCAGGGTGTGGAGGGAGGAGGCCAGGGGCTGCACTGAGTGGTCTCAGGTTGGCAGTGTTTTCATCTGCCTCGAGTCAGAGCTTGCCCACACCCAATGAAAGGACTCCTCCCGTAGCTTTTCTTCCCACATTTTCCATTTACTGGGTGTGAGCGGTCCACCTTTAGAACGAACCTAAACGTAACAATCACATCCTTAGTATGTCATCGTCCT